TAGATAACTTTACCTTCACTACAAAAATATAGATAATCGAAAAAATACAAATATATAATAGTCTTATAATGAAATTTGTAGGGAAAGAAAAGCAGGATTGCATCTTCTAAATTGCCTAGCATTGTTTCCTACACTATTTTATTTAAAAGAAATGGACATGCAACATACGACTATAATTTGGTAGTTACTACACGAATTTGAAACGAATTTGGTAGTTGATTCATGCATAACTTTATTTCTTCATATTTCTCGAGACGTATTAAAGGCAATAATTATGCTTTGGATCCATTACTGAAGCAAAACGTTGCTTGTGACGTCGGTCGAATACATTCTTCTACACCACATATTATAGCACGAGGGTGATCTTGCCTGCGTGGGAGTATATTCGAAGGTAATGATATAAGGTTACGAATGAACGTAACCGTCGTAAATTTTGGGGTCAATAATATCAAACTTTGCACTCCTCTTCTACAATTACGGTAGAAAAACATGTGATTAACCTACTACAACTTAGAAAATCAACATACTGAAAACAAGTAAACGATTATTTCGTTATTCCGGGCATGACAACTGCTCCAGTCATTAGTTCGGAAAGTGTAGTACATGTTTTATTGCGAGAGATACTATTCTGCCGTGCGACAGTAAATCCAGCGCCCACCTACACGTCGGCTTGCTGTGTTTTCCACAGCCAAGTGTCTCCCCAGAGAGAGACGCAGGAGGGTCAAGTTCTAAATTCCCGAATGGTCTCTCGACTTGTGTGGTAGGGTAGCGGTAAGAGCAAATGTGGTAAGGGCAGCGGACAGGATAGGGAAGAGAAAGTAAAGATCGTGCGGCCGTGAGCCATTTTAGGGGAATTGCTCCGGCTTCGCCTGGTAATAATTGGAGAAACCTACCAATTAATGCAGCGGAAAACTACCAATTAATGCAGCCGGACACTAGAATTCTTCTCCGGACAGCGGCTGGCGTTCTTCCTAGCTACAAATAAACGAACGTTGCATTTTAAAGCCAGAGTGTTTCTAACCAGAGAACGGCACATGATCACAGTGGTTCCAACAAGTACACCAATGACTAGAGCCAAGGAAAACAAATAAATTACTTTTAAAAATGCAATATTTAATTAATAACTCTATTAAATATACTTTTTTGTCATCAAAATACCTCGTACAAAGATTTATCTTGCAAAGTTAGCCCTTAAATTGTCATATCATACACTATAAGTATCTAACATAATATCAAATTTTCACTCTTGTATCTAGAAGCAAACCAGTGACTAGGGGTCTCGGGACACAATTTTTTTTTCAAAACACATACAATAGTTGTGAATACTACGTGTTTGTCACGCGCAGAGTTATCGATCAGATTATTATCCCATGCAAGAGTTATACGTAGTATACTTGCTTTAGGAAACATCAGACGCACTATTGTGGTGAATAGATATTCATCGCTCTGGCAGATGCACGCCACCCCGACGACCCGATTTCCACGCTTCCTTTAAACGAATCGTTGATTCGATTTTGACGAACGGTGCCGATGCTCCAGAAGCGATTCTGCGCACACGCGCGGTCCTCTCCAATCGTCGGTCAAAAGGAAGCGTGTAAATCAGGACTACCGGGCAAACAGCGACCCCAAATAAACTGGCTTCCCTCGTTTGCACCGGGCGCAGAGACCTGAGAAATGCCAGGCAACGGCGTCGGCGGTAGATCGCAGGAGAGAAGCGCGGGCGGGCGGGCGCCCGGGCGGGCGGCGACCTGCGTAAATCGCGAGGCTTCAC